CAAGAGTCTAGGATTTCACGCGAGTGGGAGCAATGACAGAAAACAGGAAAGTGAATGTTGACAAGTTGAATGGGAGCGATTTGAATTTTGGAAGATGCAAATTGAAGATTATTTGTATCAGAAGAAGCTGTACCAGTCTCTGTCCGAGAATAAACCAGAAGATGACACCTACAACATCGTCAACGAGAAGATGACACATGGTTTGATAAAGGCATTATCAAACATGTACGAGAAACCATCATCATCAAACAAGGAATTTTTAATTCGTCAATTAGTTAATACGAAGATGCAAGAAGGTGTTAGTGTTATAGATCATGTGAACGGATTTAATTCCTTACTGTTGAGATTAGTATCAATGGATATTAAATTTGATGATGAAGTACAAGCCCTATTATTGCTATCTTTGTTGCCTGATAGTTGGACAGGATTTGTCACAATTGTCGCCAGTATATCTGGGACTACGAAATTGACCTTTGAAGGAATTAGGGATTTAATCCTTGGTGAGGATATTCATAGGAGAAATGCTAGAGAATCAGTAAGCTCCTTATTGAGCACAAAAGGTAAAGGTATAAGGCCTAAAAGGGGGAAAAGTTCTAGGCGTGATAGATCAAAGTCTAAGAAACAAGGACACTCCAAACCTTGCAAGGATATTACTTGTTGTTATTGTCAGCAGAATGACCACTTCATAAACTAGTGTACTGCTCTTGTTGCTCCTAAATAAAAGAGACATGACAACACAGGGAATGCAACACAAGAAGACATTGATGATGCGTTTATCTACTACGTTGAGAGTAAGTTTGAATCATGGATCATGGATTCTGGTGCATCTTTCCATGCTTCTCCTTGCAAGGAGTTTATGAAAATTTTCAGAATTGAGAATTTCGGCAAAGTTTGTCTAGTAGATGATGAAGTTTTAGACATTGTAGGCATGAGAGATATAAATCTTAGAACTTCTGTTGGAACAGTATGGACACTAAAGGACGTCAGATATATTCCAAGACTCAAGAGAATGTTAATCCCTGTGGGTATGCTATATGTTCAGGGATATCGAGTTATATTCGGATATGGTTAGTGGGTAATCTAGTTGTTGCTCGCGACTGGAAGAGAGGAACCCTTTACATGGTAGAATTACCTGCATAAGAGGTAAATTCAGTCAATGATGATGTTTGTCACTCTTTGACTCAATGGCACCAAAGACTTGGTCATATGAGTAAGAAGGCTATGAAGATACTAGTCTCAAAGGGGAAAATTCCAAAACTGAAAGAGGTAGAAGTTGGCTTTTGTGAACCACGTGTGTTTGGAAAGTAGAAGAAAGTTACTTTTGCCAAGTTAGGGAGGATGCCCAAGATTGAGAAGTTAGAGCTTGTTCATACAGATGTGTACAGACCAACATCAGTCTCATCATTGGGGATCATGATACTATGTCACCTTCATTGATGATTCCACCAGAAAGGTATGAGTTTATTTTTTGAAGCAAAAATTAGAAGTATTTAATACCTTTAAAAAGTGGAAAGTTGCTGTTAAGAATGAGACATGATTAAAAATTAAATGTTTAAAGTCTAATAATGGTGGTGAATACAATAGTACTAAATTTGTTAATTATTGTGCTGAGAATGGAATTAGAATGCTTTAAACTATTCCTAAGACACCTTAGCAAAATGATGTTGCTGAAAGAATGAACAAGACCTTGAATGAGAGGACAAAGAGTATGAGAATTCATGCAAGGTTACTAAAGACATTCTAGGCAAATGTAGTGAGCACAACAACATACCTCATTAATCGAGGACCCTCAGTTCCCACAAGGTTCAAGATTCCTGAGGAGGAATGGCAAAACAGAGATGTAAGTTTTTCTCATTTGAAAGTATTTGGTTGTGTTTCTTATGTTTATGTTAGAGATGCTGATAGGGACAAGTTTAATCCAAAAACAAGAAAATGCATTTTTATTGGCTATGGAGCAAATGATATGGGACATTACAGATGACAACCTTGTAGGAAAAGGTAAAAGCTCATGAAATAAGATATTTGAGGAAACCGCTCCAGTCACTCCAATAATTGAAGTGATGAGATCTAGTAGAGTTATCAGGCCTCGTTATAGATTCTATCCTTTAGCAAATTACTTATTGTTGATTGATGATGAAGAACCTCTATGTTATCATGAGACATTGCAAATGGATGATGCAACCTAGTGGGAATTAGCCATGCAGGACGAGATGAACTCACTTGAGAAGAATAAAACTTGGTGTTTGACTGACGTACCAGCAGGAAAGAGGGCATTGCAGAACAAGTGGGTGTTCAGGATCAAGGAAGAACATGGTGGCAACAAGAGATACAAGGCAAGGTTAGTGGTAAAAGGCTTTCAGCAGAAAAAAAGATATTGACTATAATGAGATTTTCTCTCCTATAGTTAAAATGACTACCATTAGACTCGTGTTGAGCATTGTGTCTATAGAGAATCTACATCTAGAATAGTTAGATGCTAAGACAACATTCTTACATGGTGACCTTGATAAGAACATCTACATGATGCAACCAGAGGATTTCCTAATAGTAGGAAAGAGAACCTGGTTTGTAAGTTGACTGAGAGTTTGTATGGGCTAAAGCAAGCACCAAGGTAGTGGTACCTGAAGTTTGACAATTTTATGAGTATGAAAGGATACAGGAAATGTGCCATGGATCAGTGTTGTTATTTGAAAATTTTTGGTCCATCCTATATCATATTACTATTATGTTGATGACATGTTAGTTGCATGTTCTAATATGGATAAAATCAATAGATTGAAGGCACAATTGCTAAGAGTTTGAAATGAAGGATTTGGGTGTTGTAAAACAGATTTTGGGCATGAACATCAGTAGGAACAAATATGAAGGTTCCTTAATATTATCTCAAGAGGAGTATATTGAGAAATTGTTAGAGAACTTCAGCATGCAAGATGTCAAGATTGTAAGTACACCTTTGGGGGTTCACTTTAATCTCACAAAGGAGCATTCACCTAAGAAGGATGAAGACAAGGCAACAATGGCTAAGGTTTCTTATGCATTTGTAGTTGGTAGCTTAATGTATGCAATGGTATGCACTAGACCTGACATTGCTCATGCAGTGGGAGTTGTTAGCATATTCATGTCTAATCCAGGAAGAAAGCATTGGGAAGCTGTCAAGTGATTGCTACACTACTTGAAAGGTACTTCTAAGATTGCATTATATTTTAGTAAGAATAATGTTATTTTAGAAGGATATTCTAATGCAGATTTGGGAGGTTGTTCAGACACAAGGAAGAGTGCTACATGATTTGTTTTCACAGTAGGTGGCACAACAGTTAGTTGGATGTCTCGACTTCAGAAAAATGTTGCACTTTCAACCATAGAAGCAAAGTACATGGCTATTTTAGAAGTCGGTAAGGAAATGATTTGGTTGAAGAATTTTCTTGAAGAGTTGGGTAAGAAGCAGTGTGACAGTGCTCTTTATAGCGATAATCAGAGTATCATTCAAGTTACAAAGAATCACATGTTTCATGCGAAGACAAAGTAGATCCAGTTGAGATACCACTTCATTACAGGACTATACTCAATGATAGTACTTTGTTCTTAAAGAAGATTCTTAGGTTAGAGAATCTTGCAGGTATATCGACCAAGGTAGCTACTACTAAGAAGTTGAAACTTTACATAGTTTTAACTGGCTTTCATGATTAATTGTTGAGAAGGCATCGCACTAGCTTGGAGGTGTTACGATTTTGAGGTTTACTAGATTTACTTTGGAGTGCAGTTGATGTGATCAACCTCCAAATAGAGATTGTTGAGTATGTGGAGTCTGAAGGGTTTATTAGGCTTGACTCATTTGCTTTCTTTCTTTTTTATAAATATTCACGAAATTGTAAACCTAATTAAGAAATAGAAAAGACCATCTAATGAGGTCGTGGATGTAGATTATTTTGACTGAACCACGTAAATATCTGTGTCTTGTGAATTTACTTTCTCTCTTGTAATTGTCCATGTGAGTGCGTTTGCGATCCCTAACAACACTCTCAATTAGATCGTCACTATCATCATTACTATTGCCTCCATTATCAATTGTGGCTACCATGTAACAATGACCCTGATGTTGGTAGCAATGACTACAATATTAGTAACAACTATAATAATGATAGTAAAAATGTTGAGTGACAATGATAATCGTTATGACAATAGTATCAATCACCTACACCACCATTATTGTCATTACTATCATTGTTATTATTATCAAATGACAACAATAATGATAATAACATTACAACAATAACACTAATGATATTAAGTTTTTTTGCATGTCCTTTTAACCTCTCTTCCACACATCACAAAATTCTTTAGGCCATGTTAGATTTTACTGATAGAAAAATATATTATAACATATTTAGATAAATTCCTTAATAAGTATTTTAAAAGAATAAAATTAAAAATTCTTTAAGAGTTTAAATTAATTTATTCATAAATTAATTTATAAAAACTATCTCATTACTTTTTAAAATCTATTTTAACTTGTAGAAACATTTATTTTTCTTATTTTCTTTTAGAAATACATACACACAAAAAAAAAGTTAATCCATATATATTCTATAAATGGAAAGATAAAAGCAAAGATCAGCTAGGGAAATCTTGTTGACAATGGACCCATACAAACATGTACGAGTACAACCATATGTGGACCGGAATTCATCTTAAAAAAATGGGCGAGCTTTTCTAGCAAACCAAGAAAATCTGCAGAATTCTGTCAACCAAACGGGAAATTTTGAAGAGGACCACTGTTTCTCAAGATAATCATTACGTGAAAAGAGTAAAGTTGAACAATAAAAAAAAAATGCAATAATTCTTATATGGCTCCAAGAGAATTCGTTTTTTTTCTTTTCACCCCATTACATTGTTATAATAGACAAGTATGAGGCAATAATCATTCTAAAATCAATTAACAACCTAGACTCCGGCTATGGTGATTGGAGAAGAACAAATAGTCAAACAAACGCATCCTCATCTCCATGCAACTTTAGGAGTCTATGGGCTCAGTCTCGAAATTAATAGAATACAATGAACATATATATATATATACAAGAGCAACTTCAAAAGAACTTACAAATCAATTACAACAACGTGGATCAAATCATCATATGTAAAAACCTACATCAAGAGGGTGAAAAGGAAAGAAAGAAATATGTTAAGGAGGGAAGGGTGGTCAAAGGATATGAGGAAATGGAAAGTTCTTGTATCCTTGTCACTATGGTATTGCCACTCCATATTTACAAAGCTTCAGGCTGGGTTTGCTCAAAGTCAAAAACCTCAAACATCAAACGTCTCACATCACGTTTCCCATAGACAGCATAAGAAAGCCCGTGAATGGCCTGTTGAACAGCTGTAGTGACTGGGTATTTCAGTCTATAGCTGCGCTGATATATGTCATCAACCTTTTCGGAATATATAATAAAACGGTGGAGATTTTTTGCCCTCAAATATCTTCCACAAAACTTGTTCATAAGAAACCTGCGGTGCCTATTTTGTAACCAGAACCCTGGAGCATCTAAATGCTTCATCAACAATCTTTCAGCCATTACCAAATCCTGTAAAAAATTCCCAAAAAGAAAAATTATAGAGTATGCAGCGCTGAAGACATGAGAAAATTTTAGTATATGATATATTTCTGAATCATACAAGAGTTTCATTCCATAAATGTAATCAAATATTAGTACAATGAACAGAAGGATTAGTACCTGTATCTTTTGGCCTAGGTATTCTAATCTCTCATAGCAAAATCGAGGATGTTCAAATTTATACTTTGATGGATGCAAGAAACATAACTGTGATTCAACAAGAAATTCAATATCATCAAACTCAGAACAGAAGCTAGGGAACCTTCAAGGTAAATAATTCATTATCAATTGTGTTGTACCAACACCTCAGACCTCAGTACTTGTCATTTTTTTTTTATATTTACTTTTCCCCATTCCCACTGAATCACAAACAAGTATCACTAGAGGTTAAATAAAAGCCCCACTTCTGAAAACTTAAATTGTCATTAAATAACTCCATGACCATTTTAATATGAATATTGAACCCAAGGATGGGAGCAATAGAAGAATGCGTGGTTATTTATTTGTTCAGAGGTGCATCAAAGATATCCCTAACCCTTGGAAGTAAAGTCAATGAGTATGTAATAGGCTGATAGCCTGATAGGGCAAATGATATGCAGAATCAGAGGCAATAATAGAGATACCTGCAATCCAAGATCAAGCTCTATGTTCCTGGCTTTAGTAATTTCTGGAATTCTATCTGTCATTTCTAATGGATATCCAAGGACTTGCATAATCTGGGGTCTGCAATCATAATCCCACAAATTTCCTCTAAATCGATGCATGCCTGGAGGAACACAAGCTCTAAACAACCGTGGGTGTGCAAACAAGGCATCTGCAGGAGGCTGAATGCAGAGCAGTAAACATCATTGCTGTTCTCCAAATAATAACACATGCAAATTATAGTAGAACGGTAGTTCTGCATGCATCTGGCAATAGAGCAAAATAATGATTTTGAATTTATAATGAAACAAGTTAAGCTTGACAACCATAGTCCACAATACTTGGTTCTTCATGCGCTAGCTTTTCTGATACAAATAATATAATAACAGAAGATGTGAGGAGCTTGCCTTATACGCAACCATATCTTGCCAGCTTATATTTCCTTCAAATTCGGCAGATACATGATCTATATCTTCAAGTTGCCTTCGCAATTTGGGCTGGCAATCCTCAGCATCTGGATCCATTCCAAAGACTTCAAAAAGAACACGATACACTTCTGGCATACCAAAACAGAGATATATTGCCCCAAACAAAGCCCAAAATACAGACCTGCCATCATAATAGCAAATAACAAAACCAATACATTTAAGAAACAGATTATTGGCAGAGACCCACCTCCCCGACTGAGATGGTTCTACAATAAACAGACTATAACAACAACAACAACAACAACAAAAAATCGCCATGAGAGGTTAATCAACAATTTTCTCTTTTATTTCCAAGATTTCCCTATGATAGTAAGTCACCTGTATTTAATTATTACAATTCTTGAATCATAATAGCTTGGTCATAAAAGGAAGATAGCATCATAATATCACAAATTCATGGAACATATTATGGAGGATTAGGCAAATGGAAAAACACAATGTCGTGCCAGAGAGCAGGCATCAACACGCAAATATCTATGTTCAAAATTTGCAGGCAGTTTGAAGCAAAATAAATCAACATCAATTTCAAATCCCAATTCCCTATTGCTCAAAACAGTACCATTATACCATGGAGATGGAAATTGGAAACTTACAAGAAACTAAAAACACAATGTGTTAACCTAATTTGTCAATTCAATTTTCCCAGTCAGGTGACTCCAACCAAACCAACCCCATATCAATGTGCTAACAGTAATACCAAGCAATAATACATGCTTTGTACCTTACACAACCCTCCACCAACAGTTTGAACTCTTAACAACCTTGCTTAGTTGCTTTTCGAAAACTAAAAACAAATTTTCATAGTATAGTTTGTCCTGTTCTCCAATTTTCCACTTCAATAATCTACATAATCCTTTCATGAAAACCCTTATTATGCAAACCCTAAAATGAAACTCCAATTCTAATTGGAGAATAACATATACTTATGAAATTGTATCTAAGTTCCGTTCGATTTGAAAATAGAAATCAAGCACACCCTTATATTATCTATAAAAAAAAAAGTTTTAATTACTCTAAGGTCCCTAAAGTTTCATAAACTTTACATTTTAGTCTCTACAGTAAAAACATTTCAGGTAAAACTTATAAAACTATAGGAACCAGAAGGAAATAAAAACAATATGTATAGGAACTAAAATGAAATATTTCTAATTACAGGGACTTAAAGATAAAGTTCATGAAACTATAGACAAGACTAAAAGGATAATTAAACATAAAAAAATATTTTCCTTGAAAGTAAACATATGCCATTGTAAAGCTAAAGCAAAGCACCTAAATGGACTACAATTCCTAACGTCAACAACTTCATCAGTGTTAATTCCAAACATGAAACCACATCAAATAAAGGGCTAAAGAATCGATAGTAAACAAAATTCACTAGCATCGCCACCTATAAATCAAGCACATTCATTGCATTATTAACAAGTAAAACAGGAGGTTCTTACTTTACAGTTGATTCCCTTTCCTTCCTGATCAGCTTGTCCATATCATCACAGGGGAACACCAAATTGTGCAAGCTGGCAGCCTTAATCCACCTGGCCATGCTTCTCTTCCCAATGAGCCCAAAAACCCGCTCCCTCAACGGCGCCGGCGACTCCCTCGGATACCTCTGCAAGAAAAACTCGGCGAACGCCAGCTCCAGCACGTACTGCCCCAGAAAGAACAACCTCGAGTGGCCGAACCGCACGTGGCGCGCCCTGCTCCTCTCGTGCTGAAACGCCAAGTAGAGCAAAGTGTCCAACTCCTTGGCGGGGTTGCCGTCGGGGAGCGCGGCGGAGGGCTCCAAGGGGTACCCGAGCGCGTGCTTGGCCTCCATCAGGTGGCGCTCCATCCACGCGCTGTCGGCGTGGGCGAGGGGGGCGAAGGGGAGGCACGAGCTGAGCAAGGGGAAGGAGTTGAGGGCGAGCTGGGGGCTGTTCAGGAACCTGCTGGCGACTCTTTTGTCGTCTAGCGGGGGCGTCAGGACGAACCGCCGCGGGGGCGCGCGTGGGGCTCGCGGCGGCGGCCGCTTGCGGACCGCGAGCTCTTTGAGGAGGCGCTGGGGGCTGTTTTGGGGAAGCTCTTGCGAGGGGTCTGTGGCCACCGCGGAAATGCGGCGGAGGCGGGGGGTGGCGTTGCGTGGTTTGGGGAATTGGATTGGGTTGGGAGAGAGTGAGGTTGAGAAGGAGAAGGGAAGTTCCATCGGTGAGGTGTAACTATGAACATTGGAGTTGATTTGTGTGTGAGCCTGTGAGGTGAGAGTGAGACAAGGATTCGATAACATGGATGGTGGATTGATTCAAGGGTTTTGGGCTCGGTGGTGTTACTTGTTGCAGGGTTTTGAGCTTCCACCATATATCCGATGGTTGGATTTGAGATGACGTGTCACAATATAAGCTTGTGCTTACAAAATATAAACTACATGCTTTTTTTATTAAATTAAACATTTTGACTATGTGTTTCAAAACTCATAATAAAATACAAAATATAGAACCATCTACATTATTACTATCAATACTAGTAATAGTAATTGAATAATTATGCAGTACCAATTGAGTTTGTTGTGATAATTTTATTAACAAAGATAATAAATAATAGATAAGTTTTGTGTAATAAATTTATTGATCTAATAAGTGAATTTTATGTGACAAATTCACTAATGATATTTAGATAAAAAGATTCAAATAAAATTTTCTTTTGAATTTGTAAAAATTAATTTTAAATTTGAGTGAAAAAATAAATTTATTTTTAAGACTTAAAATGTGTTAAAATCAAACATTTTTTTAGAAAATATTTTTATTATAATATTGTAAAGTAAAAAAAAAAAAACACTACTACTTTAAATATAAATATAATTATAATATCAAGTTAAAAATATTTTTATCAATATATGTAAACATATTTTTGTTTTGTACAATAGGAGTTTAAAGCCCAAAATAAAATCCTCTAAAGAAATAAACGGTTGAAATGTTAGAAGCAAGTAAATTTGACTCCAAGAGGGCAATATCAAGTATGTGTTTGACAAACCTATCCGAATCTTGGTTGCCTTATCTAAAATATGACTACATGTAACCAAATGATTATGATCCATCAAATTAATGACCTTATTAACTAGGTTAAAACTAAAGTGACCTCTACTGCATCCTTCAATTTAGAAGTTTACTATTAAAGCCAAATCAGTTTCAATTATAACATTTTCATTCAAACTCTTATCTCAAATGACCCTCAACCCATGATAGATTGCTCAAAGATCAATTACAGAAGTGAACACGTGCCCAATCTACCAAAAGTACAAACCATTCCACCAACACCTCTTCCCATCATAATTCAGTTTATAAATGACCTTGCGGAAGAGCCAACCTAATATGAGGAATAAAACCTTCAATGCTTTGGAATGATATAAAATAGTCACAAATCAATATTGGCAATCTCCATTATACAAGCCTTTATTTGCATTGAGAGAAAAATTGGATTGTGCATTGCATTGTTAAAAATAATTCCACTTCTCATATGCCAGATGGAATCTAAGGCAATAACAAACACATTCTACTCTTTGGAAACAACAACATCAAAACTTATGTTATCAAATAGCCACTATGATAATTTTTTCATGTTTTGGTTATTGATGTGTAATTGTAAATATGAAAATATGGATTAGTTTGTTAAGCATACAATAAACTTATTTGTTGAACATAGAGTGTTGAAGTTATTGTCAGTGATGTGAATGATAAGTTGGAAGCTAATAGAAGTGATTATTAAAGAGATGATGAAAGTGAAAGGGGTGACAATGAGGATGAAAGTTAGATATAGTAGTGAACTGGTTCAACCAGTTGAATTGGGAATCAATCACTTAACTAATCTAGCATCATGTTAGATTGGATATGCTTATGAACTAGTAGGAATTAGTTTAACTCGAGCAGGTTTGGAGAAACTCGATGAACCATGGGTCATTAAGATGTAATGGGTTAAATTTCCACATGCATTTCTATGCAACTCTACACCTATACCTCTCTTGTCTAGCACCAATGTGAAAGCTTTGCATATGCACTATGTCCCATGCCACGTCTGTCAAATTAGATAATTGAATGGTGATGGTGCATGCCAATTATTGTTGAAGAAACTAGCAATTAATATAACTTCAAAGTTTAGGCTTTGGAGGATTAGAACTTAAGCCCTTTAGGTTATTAAAAGCCAACATGTTCTTACCCAATTCTAAAAGTGTGTCGATGACTAGGATGAAACCCTAATTATTCTAACACCAATAGTGGTGGAGACACCTACAAAGATACTTTGACGCTCAAGTTAAATAGGAGTCTAGGTTAAGAATGAGATTAAGGTTAAAGTGATACCAAGTGTATATAGGTGATTGATCTTATTTCTAAGTTTAGAGATATTATTGCATGATTTTAAGAGATAGTCTTGTTGATAAGAAAAGGTATTGCTCTTGATGATGCGATCCCTGGTTTGTGAAGACATTGTTGTGTGATATCTTGGAGATGTATTTTGGTGATTGTTTGAAGATATTATCCTTGATAAGCGAAGATTTTCTCGTAGTTGTTGGGGATGAATCACCTAGGATTTCACCTTGTGGCACTAATGGGTTGTGGGTCCAATATGGGTGAGCATGTGCCTAGTTCGGCTCGCTAAAGTTGGGCATGAGGTTGACTCAACTTGACCAAGTTGGATAATATATAAGCCCCCCAAGCTCTAATCCCTTTAAAGTGAAGGAGCTATGAGTGAGGTCATACCAAGCCAATAGACCTAAGTTGGGCATGAGATCAGCTCGATCTGTTCAAGTTGGGCGGTACACAACCCCTTCGAACTTTGAGTCTATTAGGACGAAGGAGTTAAAACTAACTGTCTTGCTTTTCTATTGATTGTGTTGGTGGCATATTTAATGCAATTTTGTTGACGATTTCTCGCGTGCTTTAATTGGAAATAAATGTTTTATTATGCCAAAAATATATGGGTTTTTGACTAGGAATTGGCTACAGGTGTCAACCATTGATTTGTAAAAGGCAATTGGTGGTTATTTGTGTTTTCATTAATAAGGGTGGTTTCTTGGTTACCGTTTCACCATTTTCTTTGCAACTCCTTTTAGACTGTCATGCTTTCTACGCCCTCTTCAAGTCTTGAAAGATTTAAGGGTGTGGGGGCGAGTTCTCTTATGAAATATGTGAGACATTGGGACTTCATGGGTCTTCACAATTCATAGCTAAGGCCATACTTGGATAATTTAGTTGACCATGTTATCATTTGTTTAGCAATCCCTAGTTTCCTTAATGTTTGATTTATTGGATAATAGATTTTGACAACAATTTAATGGCTCTATAAGTAAGGTCATAGACGAAGGGCTACTATGACGAAGATGAGGGCGATATTTTCAATGACTTGGTATCTAACTTTTGCATTGTGGAGGGTTCTACTGATGAAGTACACTAGTTTTAAATTTGTTATTTTTCTTCTTAAATTATGGCTGTGAGATATAGAAAAAAGGGTGTCCCTCTGTTGGTCTACATAGTATGGGTGGTGTGGCGAGAAAGGATTTAAATGTACAAGTGCCTCTTTGCAAGCTTCATTTCAACTGAACTTGGTTAGTTTCTTTAAAAGGTTAAAAAAGTGTTTAGCTTTTTTAGCTATGTTAGGAAGGAAGTGGGCTAGCGAGGCTAGTTAACTAGTAAACTTATGCACCTCTTTCATTATTTACGGGCTTCTCATGTTGATGAATGCTTCACATTTGTCAAGGTTGGCTTTAATGCCCTTTTAGGTGAGCATAAAGCTTATAAATTTTTGACCATGATCCTCGAAGGTGCACTTCTCAAGGCTAAACACATATTGTACTTTCTAACTTGAGTTAGTATTTTAGCTAGGTTGGTGACATGATGGTCAAGTTGTGCGAATTTGATGACAATGTCATTGACGTAAACTTCCATGTTATGACCAATCTACTTATGGAAGACTTTGTCAATGAGTCTCTTGCAACATCACCCTAACAATAGTTTGTATTGTCTATAATGAAAGTTGTATTTTCCTCATCTGGGGTACATTATGATTTGATTGTGTTTGGACTAGGTGTCTAGAAAGTTGAGTAGCTAGTGGCCTAAAGCACCATTGACAAGGTGGTTGGTGTTAGGGAGCGGGTAAGCGTCCTTTAAGCAGGCCTTATTCAGGTCAATGTAATCAATGCACATGCGTTACTTCCCACTTGGTTTTTTGATCATCACCACATTGGCAAGCAATGTGGTATATGTGACTTCTTTGATGAAGCCAACAATTTCTAGTTTTGTTGCTTCCTACTTAGTTACGATGCGTCTCTCATTGCCCAACTTCTGCCTTCTCTAAGCCATTGGCTTGGCATCTTAGCAGATGGAGAGTTTGTGGCATATGAAGTTGAGATCAATCCCTAGCATATTAGTGTTACTCTAAGAAAACAAGTCAGCACTGTTAGGGAGAATTTGTGTAATTCCTAGTGAATCTTAAGTGGTAGGTGTTATGTCGTTTGGCAAGTGTACCAAATCGTATAAGTAGTTCAATGAAAGTATGAGTATCGTCTCCCAAGGGACTTGCGCAACACTTTGCAATTTCACTTGTTATACTAACTAAGCTACCGAAAAGCAATAAGAGTTTGATTTGCTGCAGTAAATAATGTAAACAAGCAATAACAATTCTTTTTGGAATTTTGGTAAACACTTAGAGTGCAAAACTTGATTCTAATGCAATATTAATAAATTGTTGGGGTTTGACTTCACTAAACCTTCCTCTCATGCTTATCACTAAGTTCACAATAGTTATTATTCAGAATTTATCAATCACTCTCAAAAGTAACCAACCCTAATCTCTTACAAGTTGGCATCTAAGTTACTAGCTTAAACTATCAATCTCTTGCATAGTTTAACCTAGAAACCAGCTTTAAAAACAAGAGCTTAAGAAAGACCAATGGCATTTACTCTATCTCTAGCAATAAGCACCATTAGCTGCTCTATTTCAAGTCAAAGGTTTAAAATCATTTCTCAATCTCTTAAAAACCTTAAGTTCAAGTTAAGGGTGATCAAGCCATAACAAGCATTATGCACAGAAAAAGAGCAATAAAACTGAATAACAACTTAGATTGATAGCTTAGAGTTTACACATGAGAATGGGTTTAGTTACATCAAACCCCAACAAGGGTGAGTTTAGCTACACATAGACATGTAGAACTCTACAAATGATGAAGAAAGGAAGAAGCTTGATCTTGAAGGTTCCAGAGCTCTCCAGCCGCCACACAAAGTCCAAGAATGATCCTCCTTACTTCTCTCTTCGAAAATCCCACTTTTAGGTCATAAAAGCTTTTGTCTTATGTGAATAATGACATGTCAGCACAATCCACGCTAAGCCTCAGTTCCACGCTCAGCGTGGGAATCAAAATTCTGTTCCAGGGATTCTCTGCCATGCTGAGGCTAAGCGTGGATCTGGGGCTTAGCCTGGGAACTTAACCAAAAATTCCTTCAACTTCAAATTCACCACTTTGTGCTTGACTTCCTTCCTTCTTTCCTAGCTTTCTCCTAAACTACAAAACAACAACCAAATACTTGTAAGTTACCTAAAAACATGATTCAAAAACAAAATGTGATCACCTAACAATTTAGATATGTTTTGAGTTAAAAACAAAGTCTAAAGCAAGGAAAATTGATATAAGTGCTTCAAACTAGGCCATAAACTTAATGAAATCATAGCACTTATCAATACCCCAAACTTAAGATCTTGCTTGTCCTCAAGCAAAGAAAAATAAAGCAACTAAGTTAACACACAACCTAATCTCCTAATTGAACACGATTTGAAAATTGGTAATCACACAAAACAGCCATACATGTCTTCCAATAGTTGAACAACAAAAAATGTTTACACTTGATCAGCCAATTAATGTGGTGCCCACACAATTTGATATCAGAAGTGTATTGCAACAGTTCCCAAAGGGATTAACAAGCATGGCAATGATACTAGTGAAAATTAGTGAACAACCTCTTCCTCACCAAGATCAGTGTTTCTCTCATCACACAAGTGTATTTAGGTGGGAATCTCTCAAATCAACACAAATGAATCACACAAGTCAACTTTGCTTTTCATCTCAATCAAATTCAAACAGTCACATAATCATGCATAGATCACAAGGTCTTTCATGGGTTGTAATGTGGCTGGGCTAACAAAAGAAATTGGTTTTTCTGGGTAAACAAAAGACACCATAGGAGTAGAAGAGCAAGTCTTAATGATCACCATGTATAATTCCTCTTCCTTTCTCTATTCCCAGAAGTCCCAAGATACTACCTTCACCCAAAGCATATAGATCATACAACACACTTATTAACACAATTTAATCACTTTTTGATGTTTGATTTTTTTTTCTTTCTTCTTTTTCTTTTAATTTTTTTTTTTGAAACTGAATAATAGCTGACTAATAGCCACAGTGGTACAACCATAACATGTACATTCATCAATATGCTCAGCAACAATGATCACCCCACAATACCCCAAACTTAAGACTTTTCTCCCCTTATGATCAATTTGACTGCTCTCCTATTCCTAAGGTGTGGGAGAATTTTGTTTTTCTTAAGGGCTTCAAGGTTCTCAATAAATTCACTGTTTGGCTCAAAGTAGGGTGCAATGGATTCACTTTTTTGTTAGGTTGGCTTTTTGGTCAAGTGGCTCAAATTTACAAGAAAAATTGCCTTGATCATCTCTAAACAACATATGCTATGCAAACTCAAAAGAGACTCAAGCAAAATCAACCGCATGAAATCAAATGGTAACACTCTAACAGCAAGAGGGGCCAAAACTCACATGGGCTAATAAAGGTGCTCAAAACTTTTCAAAAGTATCATGCCACAGTCATTAACCACAAAAGTAATTGTCACACTATCTCTAATCATCCCTAGAGTGCAACCACAAACATATTTGATCTTGTGTCTTAAAATACCTTTGTTCACTAAGGGATACATACACACCTGATTTTTTTTTGCTTTTCCAGTTTTCAAAACACATTAAAACCACACAATTAGAAGCAAATAACAGAACAAAATAATAAAACATAGTTTTCCAAAGTGAAACAGCTTAGTCTTCCTCCTCATCATCTTCAGCCTCGTCTAACTCTTCTTCATCGTCAACTGCATCACCTCCCCCCTTCTCTTGATCATGGCCTCCTGGCCATGCTACAAAAGTAAAATAAGTGAATGTAATTAGCAAGACACAAAATCAGGCAAAACAATGAACAACCAAGTTGGTTTTTTTTTTTTTAACTCCATAGACAAGCTGAGCGCCCAGCCCACGCTCAGCGTGAGGGTTGCAGCAATGTGCTCCCCTTTTGGCCCCCAAAAGGCTTCACCCACCACCAAGAACACCAAAATAACTTGAATCTTGTACTGGGCATTCACAAAAATAAGGTTTCCAAGGGTTTTAAGAAGACCCATTCACAAATATACCAACACAAATGTGCAAATATCATCAAGGAACATCAACCATGAAAATAAGCCCAAAAATACCATGGATACAAGGGTTTGCACGAAAATGGGTAGGGGGATTAGATGAGTGGGGAAAAATAGAAATGGAGCCAAGAAACATACAAGGGGGGGAACCACACAAGGTTAGAGGAGATGAACTTACCTTCGCGCCTTTGATGAAGAAGAGAGAAAATGGAGCCTACCCACACCAAGAGAAACACGACCAAGGAAGCAAAGAAAGTAACCTATGGTTTTGAGAGTGTTTGTGAGAGGTTGAGTAGTGGTAGAGGGAAAGAAATAGGCGTCTGGAGAGAGAGTGACAACATTTAATGAAAAAGGAACTCCCAGGCTAAGCGTGGGACTAGGGCTGAGCGTGGGAGTTCCAGAGAGAACTCCCAGTTTTCAAGTTTAAGTTTTGAGGCTCAGCGTGGGACTGAGGCTTAGCGTGGCACCTCCAGAGAGCTATTCTTCTACCTCTGCACTGATATAGCTTAGCTTGGAACTTCATGCTGAGCGTGGATTTCAATTTTTCTGCAAATTTTCAAATTTTTCAAGCATAGCTCAACATGAAGTTCCTCAAGCCCTCACAAACACAATGCTTTCTCGACTAAGAAGCAAACACAATGATTAACCATGCACCTACACCTAGAACACACTAACACAAAATAACTGAATTTAAAGGCATGCTAACTTGTTTTTGGATTAAGAATGATGGGTTGCCTCCCATAAAGCGCTCGTTTTCTGTCACTAGCTTGACAAACCAAAGCTTCAGGGGTCCTCCAATGCAACGGTGGAATAAGCTCGCTCAATTTCACCGCCCAAGTAGAGTTTAAGTCTTTGGCCATTTACCACCCAGCTCTCCTTGGAGGAAACATCCTCTACTTGTATTGCTCCATGAGGCTTAACTTGCTTAACTCTGAATGGCCCTGACCACTTTGACTTCAGCTTCCCTGGAAATAGTTTCAACCGGGAGTTGTAAAGGAGCACAAGTTGTCCCGGTTGAAACTCTCTTTTTAAGATCTTTCGTTCATGATACAACTTCACCTTTTCCTTGTAATGCTTAGCTGACTCATAAGCATTGAGCCACAATTTAGATTTCCTAAGCAGTGAGAATGGAGGTGGCTTCAAGCGGATTACATCATCTGGAACTGATTTTTTCAGCTTCTTTGTAGCCTCACACGCTACCTCATCCAGCACATCCATTCGGAAACAAGCACCTTTATCATTCGGATGGGTCATAGCTTCAAATACATTAAAAGTGATCACCTCATCATGGACCCTCAATTTTAATTCACCATCCCCAACATCAATGATTGCTCGTGCAGTCTTCATAAATGGCCTCCCCAAGATAATAGGAATAGCACAGTCTTCTTCCATATCCATAACCACAAAATCAGCTAGAAATGTGAATTTGTCAACTTTGACTAGCATGTTTTCAATGACACCATAGGGATACTTGATGGACCGGTCTGCTAGTTGCAAAGTCATGCGGGTTGGTTTTACTACCACCTGTCCAACTCTATCTAACATAGACAAGGGCATGAGGTTAATGCTTGCACCCAAGTCTAGCAGTGCTCTTCCAACTGATAGGTCCCCAATAGTGATTGGAATTGTAAAGCTTCCAGGGTCCTTGAACTTGGGAGGTAAGTTCTTTTGAATTATGGCACTGCACCCCGCTTCCAACTCAATAATCTCTTGCTCAATGAACTTTTTCTTCTTGTTCAAGAGGTTTTTCATGAATTTTGCATAAGTGGGCATCTGCTCCAATGCCTCTGAGAAAGGAATGTTGATCTGAAGCTTCTTAAAAAGCTCCATGAAGCGTGCAAATTGCTTTTCTTTATCTTTCTTGCTTGGGGCTGGGGGATATGGCATATCCTTGGTATTAGACACCTTGGGTTTCATCTTCAATTCTCTTGCTAGTTGGCTCTTTGATTTTTTAACAACAACTTCCTCAGCCAACTCTTCTCCCTCTATGACATTCTCTTTTGCATTTTTTTTTTTTTTTATTTTTTTCATTATTTTTTTCACCTCCCTCTCTCTCTTCAGCCTTGTTTTCTTGTTGCTCTTCCTCATCCTCCAACACACCCACTCTCTTACCACCTCTTGTTGTAATTGCACTACAATTCTCCTTTGGATTAGTATGAGTATTGGCTGAAAAATTTCCACCAGAATTTTCAGCCAATTGTTTGGCCAGCTGCCCCATTTGAATCTCCAAATTCTTTATAGATGCTTCAGTACTCTTGTGGTTAGAGATTGAGACCTGCATGAACTGATTCAATGTTTCTTCTAATTTAGACTGCCTGTCATACAAGTTGGGCCTTTGCATAGGAGGTCTACTAGATTGAGCAATATCATTCTGGTTCCACCCTGTGCTAGGGTGTGATTGCCAATTCTTCCCATAATTACCACCATAATTTCCTCCTTGTCGAGCTTGATTTCCCATGTAATTCACCTCTTCTCCATGAGATGGGAAAGTATCAATGCACTGCCCGTGAGGATGATTCAACCCACAAAGATCACAACTTAGAACTTGATGTTGAGTGGATTGTAGTTGTTGTGGAATCCGAGCAACTTGCTTGGTAAGAGCCTCAATTTGTTGGGACAAGAGCTTATTTTGAGCTAATAAAGCATCTTGAGATCCCAACTCTAGAATTCCTCTTTTCTGTCTTGACTCCCTTTCAGCTGGTAGATCATAATCATTTGCTGCCATAGCATCAATCAACTCTATAGCCTCCTCCGGTGTTTTAAAACGCATACTACCTCCAGCTGAGGCATCCAATAGAATTTTCACCCGTGGCTGCAATCCACCCAGAAAAATATTAACCTGAGTAAGGTCATCAAACCCATGACTTGGACATCTCCTCAACAAGGATTTGTATCTCTCCCAAGCCTCGGATAGAAGTTCATCTTGCTTCTGAGAGAATGTGACAATCTCACTTTTTGCTTGATTTATCTTAGCAAGAGGGAAGAATCTTGCCAAGAACTTTGTCTCTATGTCAGACCACTTGGTTAAGCTTTGATGTGGTAGAGCATTGAGCCACATCTTAGCTTTCCCAAGTAGTGAGAAAGGAAACAACTTCATCCGAATCACCTCTTCAGGAACTTGATGTATCTTCACTGTGCCACAAAGCTCAACAAAAGTATGGAGATGCAGATATGGGTCCTCATGATCAAGGCCCGCAAATTGGTTGTTCTGAATCAGATTCAACAGTGCTGGCTTCATCTCAAAATTAGTGCTGCGATTGCAGGAGTGGCAATGCTAGAGAAATGAGTAGTACCAGTAGCAGCTGCATGATCACCAAGAGTAATTCTTGGTCTTTCCTCTGCCATTTCAACTTCCTCTAAGATTTCAGATAAAGAAGGATTGAGAGAGGACGAAGTAGCCTCTCTGTGCTGTGCCTGCTTGGCTAGTAACCTTTGCTTCCTTACTGCTCCCCTGTTCCTCCTAGCTGTTTTCTCAATTTCCGGGTCGTAAGCTAAATCACTAGCAGGAACAGTACCTCGCATAAACCAGAATCACAAAGCTACAACAAACAGTCAGCAACACAGATACAATGAATTAAAAGACAAGGAATATAGTAATTGCAAAATGTAAAAGAATAAATGAATCAAAGCCTAGATTAGTAATCCAAGTGACTTTGCCTAAGTATTGAGACGCAAGTCCCCGGCAACGGCGCCAGAAACTTGTTATCTCGTTTGGCAAGTGTACCAAATCGTATAAGTAGTTCAATGAAAGTATGAGTATCGTCTCCCAAGGGACTTGCGCAACACTTTGCAATTTCACTTGTTATACTAACTAAGCTACCGAAAAGCAATAAGAGTTTGATTTGCTGCAGTAAATAATGTAAACAAGCAATAACAATTCTTTTTGGAATTTTGGTAAACACTTAGAGTGCAAAACTTGATTCTAATGCAATATTAATAAATTGTTGGGGTTTGACTTCACTAAACCTTCCTCTCATGCTTATCACTAAGTTCACAATAGTTATTATTCAGAATTTATCAATCACTCTCAAAAGTAACCAACCCTAATCTCTTACAAGTTGGCATCTAAGTTACTAGCTTAAACTATCAATCTCTTGCATAGTTTAACCTAGAAACCAGCTTTAAAAACAAGAGCTTAAGAAAGACCAATGGCATTTACTCTATCTCTAGCAATAAGCACCATTAGCTGCTCTATTTCAAGTCAAAGGTTTAAAATCATTTCTCAATCTCTTAAAAACCTTAAGTTCAAGTTAAGGGTGATCAAGCCATAACAAGCATTATGCACAGAAAAAGAGCAATAAAACTGAATAACAACTTAGATTGATAGCTTAGAGTTTACACATGAGAATGAGTTTAGTTACATCAAACCCCAACAAGGGTGAGTTTAGCTACACATAGACATGTAGAACTCTACAAATGATGAAGAAAGGAAGAAGCTTGATCTTGAAGGTTCCAGAGCTCTCCAGCCGCCACACAAAGTCCAAGAATGATCCTCCTTGCTTCTCTCTTCGAAAATCCCACTTTTAGGTCATAAAAGCTTTTGTCTTATGTGAATAATGACATGTCAGCACAATCCACGCTAAGCGTCAGTTTCACGCTCAGCGTGGGGATCAAAATTCTGTTCCAGGGATTCTCTGCCATGCTGAGGCTAAGCGTGGATCTGGGGCTTAGCCTGGGAACTTAACCAAAAATTCCTTCAACTTCAAATTCACCACTTTGTGCTTGACTTCCTTCCTTCTTTCCTAGCTTTCTCCTAAACTACAAAACAACAACCAAATACTTGTAAGTTACCTAAAAACATGATTCAAAAACAAAATGTGATCACCTAACAATTTAGATATGTTTTGAGTTAAAAACAAAGTCTAAAGCAAGGAAAATTGATATAAGTGCTTCAAACTAGGCCATAAACTTAATGAAATCATAGCACTTATTAGTAGGTGTTTTCCAATTTTGCTTACTTGGTCTAGTTGAAGACTAATTTGGAAGTTTTCCAAATCATCAATAGATGTTGAACACTTGTCCTCATACCCAAATTGCGGATCGAGGTCAAGCCAACGATGGGTGACACTGAAGAGTTTGACTATATTGCACGTCTAGTGGTGAAGGAAATGGTTGCCTCTACAATGGTGATTTTGAGGCACTTGGCATAGCATTGTCTTGCTATGTGCTAGTCTGTCGAGATCTTGTAATATTTTGAAACTTTGATACAATATTATAAATTTTCTTATCAATAAATAATATTTTTAAATTTTTAGTTATCATATTTAAAATAAATATATAAAGATAAACGTTTTATTTTGATACCTTGTGATTTTTTTCCATCAAATTAAAATAGAAATATTTACTATTTGGTTTTATTATAATTTTTATAGAAGAATATTTTAATTATTATGATATATATATTTAAAATTGTTAAAATTTAGGTGTACTTATGAATATATTAACTACGTGAACTAATTTAAATATATATAGAGATATTGTGTTGTTTTTTAATTATTTTTTATAATGGATAAAGTCGTAAGAAAATCTATTCAAATCTGCTATAAAGATTCTTATATATCCATTAGTAACGAGAGAAATTAATAACTTTGTAACTAAACTAAAATCTAGTTAAAAATTTTAGTAAAAATCTAACAAGTGTAATAATTGCACTGGTGCCTATAAATAGGCCTTACATGATGTGAATGAATCAAATGAAGAAGTAGGAGATTTACTAAGACTTGAGAGTGAAAAAAAAAACGAGAACGGATTTACCTCTTGGATAGCAAAACAAAACAACAAGGAACAAAGATTTTGGGTGATACTATTTCAAATATTTAGGTAAGGGGGAGGATACCTTTATCTATTTAAATTTTACATGTTATTATGTTGGTTTATTTTATGTTATATTTATGTCTATATACTTAATGAGGTGTTCCTAAGCTCATTTACTTGCTTAATCTATGATACTTTTTACTCTAAATAATTAATAAGGTGTTATTTATTTAGGTTGTTTAATTATTTTATGATGTTTATCACTGTCATTTAATAAATTAATATCCTTTAATACATTCTATTTTTGTAAACTATTAAATTTAAATAATTAAAAATATTTAAACTTATTTAACTTAATTATTTTTATATTAATCTAACTATAATATAGTTTGTTAAAATATCCTAAGTTTATCTTGTTATTATTTCTTCATGCATTTATAAAGATAAATATTATTCTATAGTCATAAGAATGAAAGTTTGAATTAATTTGTAGTTGGAGGTTTATCTTGAAGATTTAAATGATTAAAACTTAAGGTGAAATAACCTTTAGTTATTTGTTATTTTAATACTCATTTATCCTGACTAGTCACTACAAGTATAATTCAAATTTTTATATAAAAAAATTAATATATATATATATATATTAGTATTAGTTAAAAATATTCCTATGCATATTATTTAATTATTGATATTTATTAGATAATTGTTCTCACTCCTTATATTTTTTTGTTTAAAATATTTAATTCATTATAATAATAAAAAATATAGATGGATCTACCGGTAATACCTGGCCCTTTTCCTTCTATCATATCAGTAATATTTTCTAGAACCACTTGGAGTGTGGATGCCGTTGCAAATTCGGTTACTTTCCAAGGAGTTTCACTGTCAAATTTAACATTTTCTCTAACTTAGGAAATCCCTACGGTTATTGATGGACCGATAGTAGTTACCTTTTTCCTACCTCTAGCTAACCACGTTAATCCTATAGTAAACTTATATCAACCTAATATGTAAATATTATAATAGAAGTACAAGAAATAAGTAGTTTATAATTATGTACGTTATTGTAAATATTCTTAGAATAGTATGTAAGGTAAATTATAAGCTAACTATATGTAAACAAGTTCACAAAATCTTCATTTGTTTTTACGTATAATATTATTAATGATATAATTGTAAAAATAACATATAAGAAATATATACTTAATATTACATAAATTGGGCATTCCATATCGCGTTTATACTTTTGTTGTTGGTTGGGAGCTTTATCGCTTGGTGAGGTGTGAACACCATGGCACCTAGGGGGTTTAGGGTAATTTCTTATGATGACATTGTAAGAGGTGGTTGCACCTACTAGTAAGTATTTTATGCTTAATGATTTGGTGTGTCTACCACTCTCAAATATGGTCAAGAGTTTGACATAACTTTTCGTGTTGAATGATTTGCTCGTGAACCCCAATAGGGGTTCATCATGTGGTTGCGTGACATCATAGTTGCATCTGGAGGAATGTATTCTAGTATAGGACATTAGTTGAGCTATCGTGATCTACAAGGGTTTTTTGCACTTCCCAATTGGTGATTTGGACTAAGATGACCATGGGATCATCTTGATTTGGATCCATGCTTAAGAAGTCGTCATCAATAAAAGTGATGAGGGTGTCGATCTGGGGGACTTACCTTGTGCAACATTAATGTTGTTGATGGCCTTAAAGTGTCTTTTGCATGATGAGTTGGTGGGATCATCGCCTATGAAGCTGTCAACAATGGCGTGTATGAAAGCTTTGTCTTTATCTTCATCATCGTTTTATGGGATGGCTACTCCTCTAAGAGGACTTTGATTATGGTTGTCTTGTCGACATAGGTTGTTCCTTTTTTATTGTCGATTGGGGTTTGTCCTTTGCATTTTTGCATAGTCCCCACGCAAAGTGACAATTCGATGTGGAATGATGCGATTTGAGTTATAGTGGTGGTTTTAGAAATTGTATGTTGTGGTATTGGGATTGGGCTGAGATGGCTAGTTGTTGTGGAGGTTCCTACTACATTGTTACTCATTGTCTAGTTTAGGGTGGAAGCCATGTGTAGTTAAAGGATTGTTTCACTTCGATCTCACATTGGGGACCAAATGTTCTTAACAAATTCTACAGGTGCGTTGACAATTGGGACGACATCCTAATTATTCCAACATCAGTGATGGTGGGGGACACTTGCAAAAAAATTTTGATGCTTAAATTAGAGGGGAGTCTAGGTTAAGAATGAAATTAGGGTTAGAGTGATACCTAGAATCCCATACATAGGTAATTGATCTTATCTCTAAGCTTAGTTAGAGATAACGTTGCATACTTTTAAGAGAGATTCTTGTTGATAAGCAAAAATATTGTTCTTAATAAAGTGATCCCTAATTTGCAAAGACATTATTGTATGATATTTTGGAGATATATTCTGGTGATTGTGTGAAGATATTATCCTCGATAAGCAGGGTTCTTC